CAAAATAGTGCTGTTCAACAGGAAAAGAACAGCAAAGGATCCATTTTAATGATGGGATACTCCTACGCAATGGAAGACAAATGGCTGATGTTCTAAATGAGTATTTCACCCAGGTGTTCACTCACGAACAAGGCAATGACAATCCTCATGTAGTGGAGGAACCAAATTCTGTTTTACATATACTGGCCTAGAAGAGACAGACGTCTTGCAGGACTTTGACTGGACCACTCAAAAACATTCTCTTTCATCTTGTTAAGTCACTTCATTGCAGCTTTGGACCTGTGATTGCCCTGCTGAACGGTGTCCTTCTGACTTAGTTTTGTGTCGGCTGCAAGTTCTTCTCTGAGGTTTTTCCTGGACTTTTCTCCATCCATTTTACCCTCAATCTTGACACATTTCCCAATCCCTGCTGAAGTGAAGCAGCCCTAGAGCATAATGCTGCCACCACCGAGCTCGACAGTAGGTTATGGTGCTGGGTTTGTGCCAGATGTAACGATGTCTGCTCTGACCAAATAGCCTTTTTCCAAATCTTTGCAGTGTCATGTAAATTCCTTTGTTGCAAAATCTGTGCCTGAAATTCACCGCCTGGCTGAGGGAACATAGGAGTGTATTCTGATACCGTGTGAACCTGTATTATTGCAAACGGAGGCTTTCCAACAAATAATTAATGTGGAGCTTGAACTAATTTAGGTATACCACAACAGAGGGGTTGTGAACTTATGCAATTAACTTCTTCTTGTTTTACTTTGCAGATTTTGCTGATATTTAGCATACCCTATAATGAAATGTTTACTTTGAACATTCATGTTTTGATCAACAATATGTCCTACACAGACATATGATCATAAGAAAGGTTACAGATGAGAGAAGGTCATTCTTTCCCTTGGTAGTTAGTCATTAATTGATCCCAGAATCTCATCCCACTGTTTCTTTAAAGAATCCAGGGTATGAGCTTTAACAACATGGTATGATAGACTAAATGTGCTGAACCTTTTCAGTTTTGACTGAAGAGGACTACAAGAAGCCCTGAGTTCAAAGTCCTCAGAGACATAGTCAAAGTCAACCCACTGCACTCAACAGTGAAAACTGAACCAGAAAATACTAGTCAACAGTGTGTGCCATTGCATTTAAAACTAAGAACAATTCTTTACACTAATGGGAGAAAGACACAAGCTACTCAGGCATGAAGCCATTGCACTGGTTATCTTGAAGAAACATTGGAAAGTGCTCCTCAGATGAAGTAGCTACTATCAAATGTGTTAAGATAATAAATGGTCTCCTTTTGTTTGGAGCTGTTCTGATAGCACTGTCAGTAAGAATGTCAGAGTTGCACCATGTTTCCTGAACAAAGTTAAGGTAAGTAGATACACTTCCATCTGAGAACAAGCTTTGAGAAGCTTTATTTGTCAATACAGTTCATAGTCACTGGAATGATAAGTAGCCTAAGCAGAAGAAAATGCAGAGTCTTGGAGATCATACCGCGGTAACAGTCATTTTATTTCTCAAAGAAGGGAATGCAGAACTGAAATGTCCTGTTCTTTCTCTTGTTTTGTTGTTGGTATGAGTGTTGTCCATCTCCAGGCACGGAGTAAAGGAGCTGAACAATTGTAATCATCTTCCACTGGGTGGCAGTGTTCTCAGTGAGACTACCCGTTCTGTGGGATCTTGGTTTGTCTGCAGATGTTATAGCTCACTAAAGATTGAAATCTATGCCCACTAATTTGCTGCACAAACATCACTTTGTTCGGAATCATTTCAGACTACTACTTTAGAAATAATAACATTTATAAAATCACCAGTAACACATATTATCTAAGTATATTTACATATGTTCAGTACATTGCATTTCAGAAATGGAACATAAAAGTTGTCTGCTCTTCTGTGTGAAACTTCACACTCTTCTTTAATGTGGATGTTGTTTTCTTGCTTTGTGTTGCCTTCCGATGTCTTAGTTGGTTGTTTAAGATGTATGTATCATCTATTCTGACTTCACTACTAGTTGGATTATTACCAGTCTTTCATTTACATCATTCAGAGGCAGACAAAGCTGGGAAAATTCTAGTGTAGTGTTGTACTACAGTACTACACATATTAAAATTCTTGCTATTCACATTTCTTTAACCGGAGTAGTGTCAGCGGACCTATCGGTAGGAACTTGCAGTCTTGTTTCCAGTGACATTCCTTGTGAGTTCACAATATGGTGACTTCTTCAAGGTCCTGTATTGTTAGCATATGTGCCGTGGTAGTACGTTTTATTGAATGTGATGATTCTTTTCCTATATTACACGTGCATCATCTTTAAACTTACCTTTTTCGTTTTCTGATACCACACAATTATTCCTTATTCAAAGCAGTGGAAACAGGACAGGGGGTGGCTACAGTGTGATGCACGTTATCAGGAATCCTTTACTCTGTCCAGAGTGACAATGAAATGCACAGACACCTGGCAGTAGTTTCTCACCCTCACAGTCTGTGGTGTTCCGTTGTTCACACCTTGAGTTATTTTTTCTTGCTCCCACATAGAGCACTGCACCACCGTAAATCGGAATGAGCAAAGCAGTGTTGAATCTATAAGGTCACAGTTAAAGTACTGTACGTGCAGTAATGTGATTGTACTTTTTCTTCCGATTATGCTGGCGCAATGAAAAATACAACAAGATTTAGTAAGCTATCATGTTGCCAGCGGCCATATCACCCTGCAACTCACAACTGACACCTCCCTGAAGCTCCTGGGAAAGCTAAGGTTGCAGCTGGAAGAGGTGTTAGTGGAGCCAGTAGGGGGCGCTCACTCTCCTGTCTGTATGGGTCCTGATGCCCCAGTATAGCAATGAGGACGCTATACTGTAAAGGGGCGCCGTCCTTCAGATGAGATGTAAAAATGAGGTTCTAACTCTCTGTGGTCATTAAAAATGACCAGGGGCCTTTCTTGAAAAGAGTAGGGGTGTAACTCCGGTGTCCTGGCCAAATTTTCCATTGGCCTTTACCAATCATGGCCTCCTATAAATCCCCATCTATGAACTGGCTTCATCACTCTGTTCTCCTCCCCACTGAGAGCTGGTGTGTGGGGAGTGTGCTGGCGCACTATGACTGCCGTCGCACACTGGTGGTGGTGGAGGGGATCCCCATTACCTGTAAAGTGCTTTGAGTGGAGTGTCCAGAAAAGCACAGTTGTAAAGAATTATTATTAATTATGTTAGACAACCAATGTTCATCCTTTATTAAGACTTTCATGAAGATTTAGGTCTAAAGAATATGTACAATACCAACCTAGGAGGTTCACAGACTTCTTGCTACTGTATACTGCATATGACGAATCCAAACAAAATGAAAAATAATGAACAGATGTTCACGCTGGACACAGCATTGGAAAAAATGAGCTGTGTCTCCATTCCAGAGAAATTGAGTGGTCCCAAATGATTCTCATTAGATGGGTATACAGTTATTGTGGGCACATTCAATTTTCCTGCAGCAAGGCATGGTTTGCTTACAGCTTCCAATCCTGTGGCTCTCAGACTTGATTTAGTAACAATTTACCCCAAGTACATCTTATAAGAAACCAGCAAGCAGTGGAAGTGTTGATAACCCTGCAAAGTGAAAACATGTATCGATACAGCAGTCTGTGGAAGTGTTGCAGAAACGTGACACATACTATAAATACCTTCCTTGTGTGAGTTTTACAGTGTAAGGGTGTATACAGTGTATGATTTGAAGATGCAAAAGAATTGGATCTTTTTTTGCCCAAAAGTAAAAAAATAAAGTGTTTGTAAGACCTTGAAGAAAAGAAGTAATTTCAATTTTTTTTTAGATGGAAATGTGAAACACTGTTCAAACTCTGTTAAAACACAGGTGTTGGCATTACAGGTGAGATGACAAGGGTATAAGCAAGCCATCTGCTGGTGCCCAATACAGTAAAATTGTTAGAACACTAGCAATTTATCAAGAGAGACAGTACACCCCTTGGTACAGTCATATATTATCAAGATGCATGTCAAGTACTGCTCTGCAAAATAAAGAGACTTCTTCCTGTGGTCTGATCTGGTCAAGTCCAGGGTTTTGGCCTGTATTTTGAGGCCTGAATTTATGAATGAATTCAGATTACAGTTCACCTGTGGCAGATTACTGTGCTTCTGTAGTCCCAAACAGCGGATTTTGCACAAGACCTTTGCAGGGATTGATGTAGAAAATCCTCACAGATCAGTGGACATTAAACAGGTTATGTCAGATATGTGTATACAGTACAGACGGTTTCTACCTTTGTGATGCCAGAAGACTGTGATCTCGGCACCAGATCTATTGTGATGCTGCATTTTAACCTTTTGATGGCCTGACTCATATTCAGAAATCATTATGGACACGCAAATGTCCATTAGGACTGACTCTGTTCATGTTTTATCATGAATGGTTCCAAACTAAAAAAGAGTATTCATCCTAGAAAAAGTCCATGAATGTAGGACTAAAAGTTGTCCACAACTACTCTTGGGTCTGGGACACAATGCCCAGCCATACCTTTGAAAATGATTCCTTAGGATCTTTATAAAGAGGTCTTGAGAGATTCGGGATAGTTGAGTTAATAACAAAGTGTGCGGGACTGCTCAGTCTGGGCTGTGATTTGTAATATGTGTTTAATTTGTTCAAATTAAACTAGTCTTCTTGGGTAATTTATAAGTCCTATATTGAGACATATATACAGTACAGTATATATTTATTGCGGCAGGTAGACACACATCAGAAAACTATTCTTTAACAAGTAGAGGATTTGTTCTTCAAGCATGAGCCTTTGAGACAGCTCACCTAAGGTAAACAGGGTTTTTGAAGATAAAAAGGCATAAGATAATCTGCCATACTGTATATAAAAGATTCCATTAAAAATCAGGTTGAGAGGAATTAACTGGCTCATCGGCCTGTTTTAAAACACTTAGCATCTTTGGAAAGGCTTTAGGTGCACGTTAATTCATGATTTTCAGATCTTGTACTCACTTTTTTCCCCTTTGTTTCATCAGGGAGGAACTAAACCACTTGACCCCCCCTGTCAGAGAAGGATCGTGCAAATAAATGGTAGGTAGGAACAATTTATCTCTGGAGAGTATTTATCTTCCCTGCACTTACTAGCATATCTAGATTTCTGTGTATTTAAGGATTTGGAACTTAAAATAAAATCAGGAAAGCAAAAAAAAAAACCAGAAATAATAATGGGCTCAGGAAAGAGATGGTTTTGGCAGTGATAACTGGAGATTTCCATCCTCTTTTGTAATGAATGATGTTTGTTGTCTTTATCCAGTCCCAGAAATCTTGTGGAGCCAATCACAACAAACTGAACAGATCACAAATACTGATTAAAATGCCAATCATAGGCAATTGTTCAATCCTTCCTGGGGACTCACTGATGTACACTGATGAATTGTGAGATTTAGACCATTTGGACCTTGTCTTACAAAGATACACTTAAAGATTTACTAAAATATACCAGAACCAAAATATACTATGACATGCCAGCAGCCAAGTCACCCTGCAGCTCACAACTGGCAGCCCACTGAAGCTCAGCAGGTGTGAGCCTGGTCAGTACCTGGATGGGAGACCTCCTGGGAAAAACTACGGTTGCTGCTGTAAGTATTGTTAGAGGCACCAGTAGGGGGTGCTCACCCTGCGGTCTGTGATGGGGACACTATACTGTAAAAACGAGGTCATGATTCTCTGTGGTCATTAAAAATCCCCAAGCTGTTTTCAATAGAGTAGGGGTGTAACCCTGGTGTCAAATTTCCCATTGGCCTTTACCAATCATGGCCTCCCAAAAATCCCCATCTCTGAACTGGCTTCATCACTCTGTTCTCCTCCCCACTGAGAACTGGTGTGTGGGGAGTGTACTAGTGCACTCTGGCTGCTGATGCATCATCCAGGTGGGGCTGCACATTGGTTGTGGAGTCTCCATTACCTGTAAAGTACTTTGAGTGCTATATAAGTGTAAGAAATTATTATTAATCTTAACATTTACTATAAATCTTAAAGACGCTACGAGTTTATTACCTGCTCCATATCAGAAGTTTCAATCACTGTTATATCGAGCAGGAATAAATATCTGAAACGTGTTTAATTCTTTTTTAATTCTCGTTATTAAAGAAGTGTGCAAGTCTGTGATTTGCTAGCACTCGGTATTTCATCTCTTTACTTGGTGTAGAAGCACATGAATGGTTTAAACTACCTGTAACTCTGATTTCACTCATTCAACCCATTTATCTCATTCAGTTGTTAGTTAATTGATTGGCTGTTTCTCGCAAGAAGTGATGATAACTTCTTTGGCAACATGCGTCCTGTTTTCAAATTTTAAATGCCCTTTCACATTTGTATCCTCTAGTACTGTATGTCTCTCACTGTTGATTTTGAAGAAATCCATAGGGTAAACATATCGTAATCTGCAGTAATGCCCTGTTGTCTAATTCTCATAAATGGGTTTTTTGAACCAATGCAGCTTTGTATTATACACAGCTGCAAAACTATACCAACAGTACAAATGGATATGAACATAAAATATTAAATAACAAACATCTTCCCATACATAATCATGTACTGTAAACAGGTCAGTGCCTTAGAGGGCAATCCCAGGGCGTTTCTCGAAAACAGTAGGGGTGTAACCCCGGCGTCCTGGCCAAATGTCCCATTGGCCCTAACCAATCATGGCCTCCTAATAATCCCCATCTATGAATTGGCTTCATTACTCTCTGCTCTCCTCCCCACTGATAGCTGATGTGTGGTGAGCGTTCTGGCGCACTATGGCTGCCGTCGCATCATCCAGGTGGATGCTGCACATTGGTGGTGGTGGAGGGGAGTCCCCATTACCTGTAAAGCGCTTTGAGTGGAGTGTCCAGAAAAGCGCTATATAAGTGTAAGCAATTATTATTATTATTATTATTATTATTATTATTATTATTATTAGAGGATATTAGATTTAGTTTGGTTCACATGCTTCCAGTCTCTGTGGTTTGTGCACGTGAGAACTCTGCTCATGGAAGGCATCTGGGAGCTATGGCTTGATTTTGGTTTGCAGGCAGTACATCTGCATGAGGTCCCACATCCACTGCTGTTGGTTAATTTCTCTTTTTGCTAAAACCTGAAGGGTTCTTATAGTGTATATATAGTCCCAGTCCCCTGAATCCTCCAAAGCATTGACCTATTACACAGACAAAAAGGTAAAAAGCACAGTAATTTCTTATTGTATGCCTTTAGAAAATTAAAGTAATCACGTTCTGTAGCTTATTTTGTATTTATGTAGGAATGAAAAGTGAAAAGAGAGTATTTCCCATAGACTACAGCACTGAGCAGGGCCTATTGTATAGTAGGAAGACTCTGTAAGTTTTATTCATGAAGAGTTGCAGAGATGTAAAAGCATAGCAGGCCAGTCAGATGTTGGGTTTATGTCTCTTTAAAACTCAAAAGTGTTTTTTTTTTCTTCAGGACATGTTCTTACTAACAACATTTGTGGTTATAACAAGATAGTTCTTTGCTTTTTTTTCCCCCCAGACAGTAAAAAAAGTGCTTTCTATTTCAATCTTATCTGTTTTGTTTTTATTCCAACATTGTTTTTTTTTTAAAGAAATAATACACAACTCATTCACTCTTGAGACCATCGTAGAGACAAATGCAGCTGTTCACTAGTTCTCAAGAGACAGTTAAAAGTCTCAGTCGAAATGATTTGTTGAGTGTGAGTCGGGTGTGTTTCTTGAGGGTAATTATGAACTGATCGTATGAAAAAACAGCTGCATTGACCGTATTGTTTCAAAAGGTTCAAGCACAGCCATGAATGAGTAAAACACCACCTGGGTGACAGCTAACAAATGCTAAATGCCAGCCAAGGAAGTTACTGTATCTGTCTGGCAGCATCTACAAAAATGTGGGTGGGGAACAGCAAAGCAGTAAAAATTATAGACGTCTGACAAAGCACAAAGATGAAATACCAGAGCAGTCCAGTCCTGGCTCTACAGGGTCAGTATGCTGGTCAGGTTTTTATTTTCGCACTAAATAAGCTAACAGCTTTTTATTGGCTTAACTGGAACAGTGAACAAGCAAGATCCAGAAAGCCTGCAGACACACCAGACACATCCAGGAGCAGGATGGGACGGTGCTTCTCTATGCTCCCACCTGTAGTGTGTCTCTACAGTGTGTCTTGGGCTTGACAGTATATACTGAGCATCAGAAGGTTCTTACCATTGTTTTAGGCTGAGAGCCATGATCGGCTGTCACAGTGGCAGAAATGCTAACCCACCTCATTAGTTGATGAGGCGATTTAACCCGTTGATTGTCAAGCTGTTAACAATAAAAATAGAAAAAACGCCAGGAAAGAGAAACACAGAAAGTAAGCCACACTTCTCGAGAGAACAATGTCTTTTTGCCAGTGATACAGTATATTGGACTGTGAACTAAGTTAACTCAGGTGGATCTACTAGCAGTGGAGTCGTTTGTAGGGATGAATGAAGGTCTTGCCATAAATCACTGTTAGTGAGTTTGGTGCAGGCGTGTGTGACTTCCAGTGGTTACCCTTAGACTTTCACAGTAGACCTCCTTTTCATCAGCCCATTTGATGACAAATGTTAAGATAAGATAAGATCACTTTATTAGCCGTTTACAATTTCTTGCATTAGGAATGTTTTGCACGCCCCAAAAAATTGCTCAGCTTGCTCTCTTGCACGAGACACAGCCACACAGACAGGGAGAGAAGCTTGGAGCCAGAGTGCAGGGTCAGCCATTGATACAGCACCCCTGGAGCAGCTGGGGTTAAGGGCCTTGCTCGGGGGCCCAACAAAGGAGGATTCCTCTGCCGGCCGCAGGATCTAAACCGGCAACCTTCCAGCCACAGGCACAGATCCTTAACCACAGAGCCACCGCTCCGCCCTCAGCCCCACTAATCAGCATAACAAACCTACTGTACCTGTGTCTTAACTGTTCAATACATTTTGAGTGCACCCACTACAAAAATTAATATAATTTCCCTCACAATTACTATTTGTTTCTTGCGGTTTCAAGTGACAAGTTTCTTTTGATTCTCTTTCAAGTATACATAATTGCAAATGTCCCATTAAAACAAACTGTCTTACGGTTTGACTGTTTTTGCATCAGAAATACTATACTGCTTGTCTGTATATATTAAAAAAAGACTTAACTGTTTCAAGTATTTTTCCAGGGAACACAAAAAAACAGGAGGTATGCATCTAGCTAAGGTTATATCCATAAATTGATAGATTCCTTAATTGCTAGATATGATGTTTAGAAGTTTAGTTCTATTTAGTTTAGTATGTGAATACATAAAATAAAATGTAATGTATGTAACTGGTAGACGAGACAGGTTTGTATTTAGGGTAAAATAATTATTTTCCTGGAGCATACTTTAAGTACTACACTATAATGTATATTGTGCAATTGTATCACCAGACGAACTCATTACACTCAGGTTGTAGTGCATTTAAATCTAAAAACTTAGTCATCCCCTCAACATCTTGTAATATTCATATATGAATTTAAGAAATTTTATGCATTGGTTTTGTCCTCTTAAAAACTTTTTCTGAGGTTAACATCAAAGTTCCAGCACAGGATGTTGTTCCTATAAATGTTGTTGCATTTGAATTTGCCCCACACAAATCATTCAAATATATGTTACTGAAGCTATTTAGAGCAACTTTGTGGTTAACACTGGAACAAACACTCACAGTTTCACGATCAAGTAAGATGTTGAGCAATTGAATGAGTGTTTCAGCAACTCAGCATGAGTTCAACCCAGAACCCCTTTTTCATCTCCTCCACAAAAGTCTGCTGTATTTCAACAAAAATAAATCCCCCAATCCAGATGGGAAAAATAATTACTGTAGCTCGAATACCCTGCTGAGGTTTGAATAGTTCCTAATTGAAAAGTCATAAGCTTTTCTGCCCCATCTGAGAAATAGTTTATGACTCAAATATGCATCACAGAGTTTCCATAGTGACAGTAACAAGCAACACGTCCTTCATTTAATTTGCCCTTTAACACCTTTTCTTGATAAAACGTTTATGTAATGCCATCTGAACAGGTCCACAATTATTCTGGTGCGCCACACAAGCTGAAATGTTCGCACAACTCATTTTTATTTTGTCTGGTCTCACTGTTGTTTATCTAATTACTGGTGTGTGTTAGGGTAGGTTGTGTAGATGTGTTGGGTTTGAGGCTGTTTATTATTGTTGTATTGTATGTCTTATTTGTATGAGCACACCAAACCAAATTCCATGCAACAGACTGTTAGGGTAAAAAAGTCTAGAACGTGAAATGAGGCGAACTGTCCGTTTTAATAATGATAAGGCTATCGTGATGGAACGCCCTTTTCTTAGCTCCTGTTCTGAAATGTAACCCATTTCAACAGGTCAGTCAGAAACAACTGTAAAAGTCGACTTCAGTGAAAAACCAGGGGTATTCTAGATGTGTTTCATAATGGCACAGGAAGTACTTTTTTCTAGCTTGGATCAGGAAGTTCTCAGGTCACATTAGTAACGTTGACAGTATGTTGGGATAATTAGCTCACTGGACTTGTATCAATGCTTATTCAAGAATTCATAGACTGTGTGCAAGACTTTTCTTATGGCAAATCTGTACCTGTGAACTTTAAAGGGCATAACTTTAACCACACTGATCTGTCACACCACACAGACACTGTCACAACAGGGTCTTGTTGTGGGCCTGGGCAAACATCTGCCTCCGCTTGCCGTAGCCAGAGTCAGGCTGAGATGAGGAATGCGGCCTGCCGATTAAAAATGAGAGGGAGGTAATAATCCTGTTACGTGTATTAGAGTTTACATGGGTCAGAAATGCACATCTTAGTTCTCCAAATTTCTGAAGCTTCAGTAATATTCCCCCTCAGTGCCGTCTGTAGGCATCTCCTCCAGTCCACGGCAGATCTGAAACCACTACAGAAGCGCATGCCATGCGATGCGTAGAAGCCGCCCTGGCAACGCTGCGAGTTTTCGCGGAAGATCTGGGCCAAAACCCCGAATGAAGTCTGGTGCTTCTGCTACGCGGCCTCGCCGAGATGAAAACAAAGCGGATTGATTCACATGAGCCGCCCGGCCTGGAGCAACTCATGTTTTCCCGGACGGCCGCAAGAGCGACTGTGACACCGCGACTTCTGAATGGGAGGCTACTCCGGTCAGAGAAAAGCCCGTTCTGTTCAGTGCCTGCTGCGGGCCCATTGCTGTCTTTGGGCTAAAGAGCGCCGTTGGGTGTTGTTGTAACCATGTGCTTTCGTTTAAAACACAACTGAAGCCTTCAAACATCAACATCAACACAGCGGTTAAGGTATGAGGTTACTGGCGCAGCACCAGCATTCATACCTTTTCCCGTAAGACTGGCTACAACGTCACCACCTGCGCTCACAAGTGGCCTCTGCATTTCCTTTTGCGGGGTTCAAAGAGAAGAGGCCAGCACTGACGCAGTCTGGCTTATTTTTTTAACCCGAAGGCTTAATCGCGGAGCTCTCGTTCCGTGACCCCTGTATTATATGACTCGGGCGGGGATCAAGTGGGCTGAATCCGAACATCTGAAGGATCCTGTGTGTGGCTTCCTGGCTGAGGCTGTAGCGTTTCTGTCTGGAGGTGGTTACGACATCCCGGATAGGATTTAACACCCACGTCGAATGACTTGTAGAGTGACAACTGGAACGTTTCCATTTTTCCCCCCTGTGTTGCTGGCAGTTATTCCTGTTTGGGAGGCCAAAAAAACGTTTCGCTGGAAATGTTTGAAATGGCTCATATTGATGGCAGTAAAAACATACAGGTTTGAAGATCGGTGTGTCTTTGTGCCTTTTTCTCTCTCTCCTTCCTGGAAGCAACCCTTGTGAACCACTTAATAAAGGTTGCTCCCTGGTTTCCTTAAAGGAGCATACAGGATACTCATTGGACAGGAAGTGCAAGCACAGTACTTTCAGTTATTCAGAAACAGTTTGTATTGAATTAAAAATTGAGCAATTCATTGCTCTCCCACACGTGCTGGCTAACAGCAGAAAGCAGTACCCTTCGAGAGGAAACTCTGCTCATGTTTGAGGTTTCATTGTTTGAGAATTTCTTCTGGAACAAAAGCCACTGGCCTGAGCACAAGAGATCCCAGGGTGAAAACCAGGGACTGATTATAAAATAAGATCACTTTATTGGCCATCTACAATTTTCTTGTGTTAGGAATGTTTCTTTTCACATACCCCAAGTGCTTTCCATGAGACATACATACAGGGAGAGAAGCTTGGTGTCAGAGCTCAGCAACAGCCATTCATACGGCACCCCTAGAGCAGTTGGGGTTAAGGGCCTGACTCAGGGGCTCAGCAGAGTAGGATTCCTCTGCTGGCTGCGGGATAAAAACCAGCAATCTTCCAGCCACAGGTGCAGATCCTTAAGCACAGAGCCACCACACCGCCCCTTTGCTAGTGTAGCAATCTGGAGAGGACTGGGAGACTGGAATTGGTTTGAGGCTGGGACAGCTGAAGAGTGTTTTCTCCACCCAGCAGGTTAAATGACTGGCACTATCCATATACAGCACCTGATGGATGGGGAGCCTTCAGCATTTTTGGCAGTAGCTCTCCCTTGATTGATTCACAGTTGAGTTCCATAAAGCACAATTTCTCCCAAGCACCCACAGTATGAGCTGATTATGCTATTCAAGCAACTATTTCCTGTATTTTCTCAAGTTAACACACAGTTCTAAAAAAGAGTGAGAGTAGAGAAGAACAAGTAGTTTCCAAATGTTTATTAAAACTAGCAAGGCATACTGTATATAAAGGAATCAGTTCAATGTATTTTAAACTTCCAAGTGCTTGCATTGCTCGCAAGACGAGAAGTATTGCTAACTAGGGCTTCACAGTGTAGAAAGTAAAGATCTCATGTGGCAGCAGGAAGACTACAAAGAGAGAACGTGTGACCTCAGTAGAGCAAGGAAAAGGCAGGGGCTTTTCCAAGAGTAAGTCAACAGCTCGGGTCATCGATGTCTGATAAGTCTGTCGTTGGACATGTTAAAGACATGGAAAAACCCGTAGATCCCACAGTCTTTCTGAGGGGAGATTTCTAGAAAACCATCCTCTTATTCTGTCAGCATTTTATAGAGTTGAATGCAGTCTTATCACCTGGGCTATAATCAGAAGGATAAAAGAAAGACAGTTGCTTTGTGAATCTACTGTAGAGCTGTAAAGCTGCATCAGTTTTATTCAGTTAAGAGTGGAAAAGGAGTGACTCACACTTCAATATTGTCCTCAAAGTGAAGGGCAGAGATTATTGTCATGCTGACTTGTTGAATTCAATAGTGAGAGTCTTATGCAGAAGACTTAATTTTATTTTCTTTTTCCCTTCTTTTGATAACAGATGTAATGTGCCGTACAATAAAATCATAGTTTGAGTTGTAATGAATATCATTGCGTCTGAAAAAGTGAGCATAGTAAGCCAAGAAAAATATCCCCAGCACATTTTAATATCCCCAGCACATACAGCACAGTAGGGGACTAACATATATGCTGTATAGCTTTAATTGTTTTATCTGCAGTGTTCAATATATGTGTACTTTTTTAGTCTCCGGGTAAAAATCCAATAACATACAGTATTTAAGATTTTCAAAATGTTATAACAATATGAGGACATTTAAAGTGTGAAATCTTCTTTGCTAACAAGGCAAATGGCTGACTCTCACGGGGTTATGTGAATGTAATTCTTTTTCATACCTACATGATCTTATTCTAAAGTGAGGCTTTGTATTCTTACAGTATGTCACTTAGAAATTAGAAGCACAATTAGGTGTGTAGCCCAATACGTTGAAAAAGTGTTGAGCTTTTTTGTGTTTTGTTGTGACAGTTGTGTATGATATAAATGTCTTTTAGCAGTTTGTCTCAGGGCTACTGAGCACTATATCATAGAAATTCTGTATTCTACGCATATTAATATTGATCACTTGTTCAAAATATTGATAAAAATACAGATCGCTCCAATATCCTGTGCTATTTTTATGCTTTATTATGCTTTGGTGCTTGCGTATAATAAAAAAAGACAGCACACACTGAACTAACTCCTCAACTGATAGTGACATCACTGACGCATTGTAATCTAGACTAGTATATTCTCATATCAACAAGATGTTGTTCAGTATTTAAAGTTATAATTAAATGTCCTTGATTGATCTTTAAGAATTCAGTATGAACCTCTATAAGTTTGGCTCCAAGTACTCATTCTATTTTAGTTCCATGAAGAGAAAATAATCATCCATCCATCTTCTAAACCTCTTTATCCAATACAGGGTCGCTGGGGAGCTGGAGTCTATCATGATACGCAACAGATGTAATACAGAATAGATAGATAAGACTTTATTGATCCCGAAGGGAACTTGAGGAATTGAGGAAACATACACAGACAAACATGCAGACATAGTCACACTGGGGCCAAGTTTCCCAAAAGCCAATTAACCATTAGGAAATCCATGGAAATATGGGGAGAACATACAGACTCCACACAGACAGCATCAGGAATTGAACCCAGGGTCTCTACACTGCAAGGCAGCAGTGCTGACCACTACACCACAGTCCTGCCTGCAATTATAATAAATGTCATGTATAGGAACTCGGTATTGTTTTAAAATTTCTCAGATATGTGGGGTCTTTTATTTATTTTTATGTAACCAATGTTTTCATCCTTTTTCTTTTTTTTCCATTTTCTCACTCACTCTCCCCTTTACTTTTGCAGGTTCTGTTATGAGTGAATTTTTCAAAAACATGTCCAAGTCATTCATGCTACTCGAAGTCCAAGGTTAGTATAAAACCTTTGTGCTTTAAATTATTAATGTAGTAGATTCATTATCAATTTTGCTACTTTAGTTTCTGTATTGAATATAGTTCAGGATGAACTCGGGATGTAATAATAATAATAATAATAATTGCTTACACTTATATAGCACTTTTCTGGACACTCCACTCAAAGCGCTTTACAGGTAATGGGGACTCCCCTCCACCACCACCAATGTGCAGCATCCACCTGGGTGATGCGACGGCAGCCATAGTGCGCCAGAACTCTCCCCACACATCAGCTATCAGTGGGGAGGAGAGCAGAGTAACGAAGCCAATTTATAGAGGGGGATTATTAGGAGGCCATGATTGATAAAGGCCAATGGGAAATTTGGCCAGGATGCCAAATTTCTTTTCAAGAAACACCCTGGGATTTTTAATGACCACAGAGAGTCAGGACCTCAGTTTTACATCTCATCCGAAGGACAGCGCCTGTTTACAGTATAGTGTCCCCATCACAACACTGGGGCATTAGGACCCACATGAGCCATGGGGTGAGCACCCCCCTGCTGGCCCCACTAACATCTCTTCCAGCAGCAACCTTAGTTTTTCCCCAGGAGGTCTCCCATCCAGGTATTGACCAGGCTCACACCTGCTGAGCTTCAGTGGGGCTGCCAGTTGTGAATTGTAGGGTGATATGGCTGCTGGCTGAAGTTCAGCTTTGTTCTGGGCTGGTCCTGTGAGATATATGGCAATGCTCTACTTTCAGAAATACAAAACCGTTCAAACTATATGAGTGATATCGCATAGGGCAGAACTATAACTCTTAACCTTGATATATTTATACTAAGGTGCAGAGTCGAATTTCTGGTGTTCAGAGATGTGAAGGTAATCGGATTGAATGCATGCGAGGAAAAGGAAGGTTTAGTAGCAGTTCCAAATCACACAGAGACAGAGAAGGCGTGGTTCCTGCTTCTGCACAGGACAGGGTTTGAGTGCGAGCGAAAGAGGAGAGCGAATGAGAATCCCGGAAGAGAATCGGCAGCGAAACATAGTGGGCGTCCTGATGGGGGACTGGCTTGGGGTCTGATAGAGATTCCTCAGCTTCCGGCGAGCCGTGCTCAAGGGGATTAAGATTCCTCGATGAGGACGCTGTATCGGTTGAGGGAGTGGCCGGAAAGCTCCTGACTCTCTGTGGTCATCCAAAATCCCAGAGCTGTTTTCAATAAGAGTAGGGGTATAACCCCGGGTCCTGGCCAAATCTCCCATTGGCCCTAACGAATCATGGCCTCCTAATAATCCCCATCTCTGGACTGGCTTCATCACTCTGCTCTGGTGTGTGGGGAGAGCTGGTGTGTGGGGAGCGTTCTGGCGCACTACGGCTGTGGTTGCATCATCCAGGTGGGGCTGCACACTGGTGGTGGTGGAGGGGATCCCCATGACCTCTAGAGCACTTTGAGTGGAGTGTCCAGAAAAGCGCTATATAAGTATAAGGAATAATAATTATTATTGAAGCCACAGCTTAGTCAGCACTTTGAGGAAGAGTGGTAGATACCAGCGGCCAGTCTGTCCCTGTGGACTCGTTGAAGAGGGGTGAGTCAGGGAGAAGGGCTGTCCAAGATTAGCGTAATCAATAGTAGAAACAGGAAGGTTTGACAGAAATGAACGAGTGGAACGTTTGAGGTCAGAGGCAAGAGGGATCTGAGAAGGGGACGCAGAGGAAGAAATACTGGGATGTGGCTGCTGAGAAGGTGTTGAACAGACCTTGGGGGTGGCTGAATTTCTGAAGGGGGAGGGGGGGGCACAAACGGGTTTGAGTAGCAGGGAATGTAAGCCGTGCGGATACAGGTTTTCGTGGGTGAAACGCCCAGGAAGCTTCATGTTGTGAGAAGCGCTTTTATTTGTAATTTGGGCCATGGAAATACAAGTCAGTGGACATGTTTCGCCTCCTGTTGGAACCCCCAAAGAGGTCGGGGGGGGTGGAACGTGAGCCTCAGCCGAAGTCCAGGCACTAACGGAAGTGAAGGCTAAGAAGAAGGAGAAGCCCAGACCCAAGGCTCAGGCCCGTGGACAGGAGAGCTCCCATGGGACCAGTGGAAAGGAAAACAGGCCAAAACACCGAAGATACTACTGAGGCCAGTGGTGGGGAGGGGGTGGGGCGCCTGCCAGTGACACAGGGACAGAAAGAGAAGACAGTACAGCAGAAGGGAGAGAACGGAGAGAGAGTACGAGAGGAGGGGACAGGAAACAGCCAGAGGACGTGAGCTGGTTGTGTCCTCATAAAGCGTGGAGAGGTCGAGACTGAAGAGGTCTTTGTGTTGGCACCAGAAAAGGTGACTCCAGACTCCTTCACAGCTCTTTGCAGACAAGCCACCGTCCCGGGCCCCCGATATACAAGCCTCTTCTCTCTTCTCTTCTTCCCCTGTTTCACAGAAAAAGCAGACACAAACTGTCGCGCTGCAAATTCTCTTATCTGGCGAGAGCAAACGCGAGATAGTGTTATGGGAAGCCCAACGCCTTTGTTTCCATTCATCTCTTCTCTTCCTTCCTGCTCCTGCAGAGCAGAGCGATGGCCAAGACAAAGAAAGGATGGGCAGAGAAAGAGGGTTGGTGATGGGGCTCCATGGAGGAGTGGTGTCAACAGGACAGCCGAGGAAGAAGGGAAGGCAGTGTGGGAATGTGAGAAAGATGAATTGGAGAGGCTTGCTCAGAAGAAGAAGCAACTAGAGAAGGCAAGCAGGACTGGTGATAGATTGAGCTGCAGGGAAAAGCTGTGAGTGGACAGCAGTGGATGAATAGGTATAGAGTGAGGTTATTGTGTTGAGTCTGGCCAGTGGGGGGGATTTGAGAGACAGCAGCAGTTTGGCTTTCAGATCAACTGGACTCGGAAAGCGCTGGAGTTCAGATTCCAGCTGGGAGATGGAATAGAGCAAGCCGTGGGAAGTAGCGTCTGCATCTGGTGAGAGGAAACCAGCATTGCGTGAGGGTTTTTAACACTTTCGGTTTCATTTCACTCACAAATCAGCTGACGTGTCTGTGGCTTGTTAAGTCAGTGGGAGGGTTTGGTTTTCTTCGTGTGGGCAGAAGAAAGAAAGAGGAGACATGGAGAGAGTCACATGGTAAGATCTGATGGCGAGAGCAAACGCCAAAGGCAAACGCGAAACACACAAGTAAACCAGAGAGGCCATATTTATACATAGGTAAGAGGAAGTGTGTGAAAATAGGGTTGTGTGTGAAAACAGGGTTTGACCTCCTACAGATTTTCTGTTTTTAACTCCATATTGTTAACAGCACAAAGACTGAAACAGAAGTAAGATGAAATGTTTTAACGCTGACCTACAATATGAAGACCTGATACATCGGCAATTTGTGGATAATTTGTGTAGTGGGGTAGCGTCCCCACATTCCATTATAGAGCAGCCCTTTGGCGATTCAGAAGCCTAACATTGACCCCAAAAAAGCATCAGAGAGCTTTGGTTCAATATTGCAAACTAATGAAGTGTCAAATTGAGCAAAGGCTGCATTAAAACAGTATCGACCTAAAGTCATTTCTTGTTTTCACATTTTGTTGCACCTGACAGTTTGAATATGTACTGGTAAAAAAAAAGATTTGACGTATCAGTTTTATCCTGTTATCAGAAAGCTTCTCACTCCTGGTAAGTAACCTAAAGCTCACACCTAAGATCTGTGAGGTAACAGTACTATGCACAACACCACTACATTTCCCCTGTTGATGAATTTTGGCGTCGTTTTATTTTCGTCTTTCTTTCCTTGAGGCTCAAATCATTTTGTCTTCTACATCAGCAAGCTGCGTACTTGTTGAAACCAACGCAGGATTCACAGAGAATCAGGAAATGGTATTTGTGACTTCTGCATGATGTAGTTTGCAGTCATCTGCAGGCCTAATGACAGTCAGCCTCAGCAGTTGGCCTCGCGATGTTTTTAATTGCTGCCAGTGTGAACCTGTCATTCTCTGCCTTTTCCGCAAAGCTAATCATTTTCTTTCTTGTCCCTCCACAGACACCCAGCCCTCAGGGGAGTACATGGAGTGGAAAGTGAAGGAAAGAATTTCACAGAATGTGAAACTTGATAACAGCACCACACTGAAGACGGAGGAGAATGGTTACTATTTTGTATTTGTCCAGGTCACCTTTAACATCTCAAAGAACGAGTGTAGAGAACTGAATGTGTTTTTGGACGTACAATATGATGAGAGGGTCGAGCAATATTCCTCCACTTACAAAACCTTCTGCTTTCCAGCTAATAGCACAGAGAGGCTGGACGCCGTCATAAGTCACCCTGTTCTTATGTGGATGGAACAAAATAATACAATCAGAGTTCGGGCCAAACCCATGAACTTAGTGGATCACCAGCGTAGTCCAGTTACTACGTTCATGACAGTGTTTAAGTATGCTGATCCATGATACTACAGATTTGGAAATCCAGTCTTTGCTGTGTTTGTAACACTTTCCTATTGTGCAGCTAATCTATGATCTCTGCTAGACCATTTGCTTTTTCTTACCATGTACAGCTATAGTTTTCTTTTTTGTTTTCAGCCACTTGATGGCTTCATAGCGATCAGTGGCATCCAAGCTAACAAGAACAGAGCCTCAGCAACTCTGCATCAGATATTAGGACAGAATTCTGGAAGTCAAGGTTCATTGGCTGACTGAGACTTTATGAACATCAAGAAGGGGAATTATAGCAGTTTCTAATTTGATTCCAGTAAAATCTGCTTGTCTTCCAAAGTTACAGCACTGCTAGAATGAAGGGATATTACTCATTAATTGGTTTTAAAACCCACGTAGTGTTAATTCTGAAGGGCAGAGCACATTTCTGGATTGAAAAAGTGGAGACTTTTTTGATTTTGTCTAAGTTTCTGCTGAGTGGAAATTAATGCATGTTTTTTTTCAGTGTTTCTGTCCTTTTTGAAAAAAATTTAAACTGGAACATTTAGAGGTCACAAAGATACATAAATGGAAAAAAACGGAAATGCTTTTTGCAGTATCTGTATCTTGGTTTGATTTTTTTATCTCAGTATTTTTGTCAGAATCCTTGAGAATTATGTGTGTTTACACATTCTGGTGCTGAGTTGTGGATGATTCATAATTATTTTTCTGCTTTAAGATACATTGTGTAGCAAAGCTATACATTGTATAGAAATAGCAAAGTAAAATTTTACAAAACAAGGAAAAAGAGAAATGCATATATAAAAATATATAGTTGCTTTGCAAAACCTGGCCATGTTTTTTTTTTCTCATTTATTCTAGGAAAGGGCTTTCCACTTAGCTTCAGTGTTAAAGGGCTACTGTGTTCAAAAATATATTTTTTCAGATTTTGATCAAATTTATACTTATTTCCCTGATCACTGTTCTGATTTAACAAGTACCCTTGTTGGAATTGGTTTTGAAATCTGGAGTTTTGGAGTGCCTGGTAAAAGATTGTTAAAATAATGAATACCCTCCAAAAATGTCAGACATGCTGCCACCTAGTGATTGTCTGTTCGCAAGTAAATATTTCATAACAAGGCAGAATGCCTTTTTATCTCCACCATAAATCAGCTTGTTTAGGTATTATTTGAATTCATTGTTTTCTGATCTAAACGCAAACATATTTTAAATACATCCACAAAAAACAGACTATCCCTTTAAGCTGGCCTTATTAAACAAGTCATTTCTTCTTTGTTTTTATTTTAATTGTGTATCTTGAACCTCAAGGGGTCCGGCTTTTATTTTAAGAGCTAACTGCCATCTTTAGCCCTCTCTAGTAATAAATGGAAGAGTTTAGCGGAAATGAATCCTCGACTTTAGCAGAAATCATTTGCCTTTTTTTAGATCCTTAATTTATTCTGTTTGTTCATGACTTTCAGATATATCCCTTGTTGTATTAGTGCACACAGAGTAGAAATGGAATGAATGTTTGTAGGTAGGGTGCTAAAATTTATAGACATTCTAGGGTATAGACTGACACTATTAGAAGTGCTGGTTCGCTTCAGGTTTATTTTATTGTTCTGTTTAGCTTTGTAGTGATTTATGTACTCAAGGTATTTAAGTTTCAGTCTCAGAAATGTCAGATTTTTGTTATTTGAGTCATGTCTACTGAACGCTGTAAACTAGTTTATTCCAGTTCTATTACTCCAGGTCTGGAGTCCAGAAGCTTTCCAGAAAGGTTCATTGATTGATCCAATTAAGTTTTAACTGGGACAATTTGGTATTTCTCCACTGCCTGCTATAGACGGTCATGTCTGCGTACAGCACTGCAATGTTGAGACATTTGTCTAGATGTGGTTTGAAATTCTGTTTCAGTATGGTGACATCTGTGTCATTTGCTTCTAATATTAACTAGAAACCTCTTGTCACTCTTTCAGCTTTTTTAAGGAAATGTTGAGTGTAGAGATATAATTGTCACAGGCAAATTTTCCCTGAGATCTGTTGGTATAAAACAGCTCATTTGTTATTGTACTACAGACAGGGGGCATTTATTCATGTGGTTAACACCTGGGTAATTCATTTTGTTGTGAAGGCAGCTAACACAAACTACAATAACTTATTTTTTGACCATAGTACTAATGATAAAATAATGTAAAGTTAACACATCTTGGCTTGTATTCACAAAGTTTTTTCCACAAATTTAGTGTCAGCATTATTTTTCAGAAGAGAGGAAACATCCACATAAGCTGTAAAAAACAAAAGCGTACTCATAGAAAGCTAAAATAAACCATATGTGCAATTTATTATTTTATTTTAACTTATATTTCTGTTTCATTCCTTCAACTGGGTAATAGCAAATTTGTGGCAAACTCTTTGTGAACATATCCCTTTGTTTTTGTTGATTTTCATAGTCATGGCCACGGATTTGGCAAAATACTGTTTGTGCAACACGTGCTGTGTTTTATAAGCTTTCATGAACTGCTGTGGAAAAGCGAGTTGTCATGGTACAGTATGTTGAAATAATAACATAGAGAAAAAGGAATGGAGAAATCCCTTGGGAATATCTCTAGAGCAGGCCTTGACATTCACAATTGCACCTGTTTTTAAGGTATTGGAATGCGAGATTCTCATTGTGATCGAGAGGAGGATCCTCTGATGCTTCAATTCTAATTGCAGACAAGGTGGAGTAAATAATGCCTCCTCATCCAAAGACTATTCAGTTTCCTGCTGCTTTAAACCTTTATCAAATGTCCCATAATTGGGTTAAAACAAATGGCCTGTAGAATAAATAGCACTTTTCATTCACCAGATTCTCGTTAACAATGTCTGGTTTGGTCTCACCTGCTCTGAACCTGTTCAACGTATAGTAATGTATTGTCCTAGTCTCAACTGTAGACGGGTTTGAGGCTTATGGAAATAAATAAGAGTACAATACCTTAAGGTGCTCTACCAAATTTTCATGAACAGTGAACTCATTAGTTACCACAGTGTTTAGTTCACCAACTAAAGTGTGATGATTTGTCTAAAGCTTGGGCATCTATATTTCATTTGACAAACGGCATCTTGATCGCCCTGTTATTTGTCCTCCTGACTGAAAAGCTTTTGCTTGTATCACTAAATTATCATCTCCTAGAAATCCTTAAACTTTTTATTTTTAAAAGTAAGCATTGTCTGGAATGTTGAACTATTTTCCATCCATAGTAGAATGTTTGATTTGGCACTTATAACTGAAAAGACTTTTTCCACACAACCTTGTGATTTGTGTATTTTTATAAACCTTTGGTAGAATATTTATGTGTATGTATTGAAAATGAAAGCAAATCTTATGTTACACTGTATGTATCATTTACTGTTGCATTTGTTTGTTTTAAAATGTGTATTGAAGGGTTTTGTACAACTTTCTGAGAATGAAGCCCAAGATGGCACCTTAACACCCTTGCAGAGTGATAGGATTAATATATGTAATTAATAGGTTTGCTTTATCTGTTTTGGAAAATGCTGCCTGTAGAGAGACAGCTTCTGAACAAACAAAATCTACCTTTTCAAAATTGCTCAACTCCTTTTGTATGTTTAATATATTTCTTGTTCATCCAGTTATAATATTGTATTTATAGTGAAGTATCTGTTTGTGACCTAAGAATGTTAAAGCTACTCTGATTGTCTGCACTGAACAGAAACATGGAAAGAAGCTGTTTCCTGGCAGTATTTTAACTCTCTTACACTGCAGTTCCAATCAAATGAAGCTGTTACCTCTGTCGCAGGAGATTAAATCTGTTACTATTGTTCCAGTATTTCTGAATGTAAATGTACTGGGTGTATTTTTATTTGCCGTTTTTTTTTTTTGTTGTTTTTGTTTTAGATTTTATTGTATGTCAATAATTTATCTGAAGAAACCAGTGTAAAGACATTAAAGCTTCATTTCCTCTTCCCTTTGAAAAACCTTGTTTCCAAGAAATAGGAACTGCTTTCTCAGTGCAGTTTGTAAATGAAGAACAGCAGAATCCAAGAGCCACTACACCTACTGTAGCTGGCCTGTGCAGTTCCCGTACTGTACAATAACGCGTTGAACCAAACAAGTGACTGCAATATGTGCTGGACATACTGTAGATTATAATGCCTGTTGTTTTTCATTCTGACAGTGCCTGAAATATCTCATCTTTGAACCAAAAACTCATGCTGTTCTGATAGTATCTGTCCAGAATTAAAGCAGTCATGTCAAAATGTATCGCAGCTCTTTAGAATATACTACACTGGTCATGTATTTCTGGAAAGAACAGAATCCTAATTATCGCTGCCCCCTATTCACAAATCACGAACAGTAATGGATTGAATTTCTGTGCATTGTAGGCAAGGAGGTGAGACCAGAAGGGGGGAAATGGTTTCAGCTGCCTGAAGGAAGAGAAATGTGAAAGGGGGGATTGTTTGTAGTTGCCCAATGCTGTAGATTTTGTGCATCCCATCTCGAAGTATTTTCTGCGTTTCAAGAAATGTGCTGTGAACGTAAGAGACGCTGTAAATGGCATCACAAACGTCCAATGAGGAATGCCTCTACTTGGCGTAAGAGGCAGCCCATAGTGCATCTATTCTGCTCCACCCCCTCAGGTGTCCTGACAAGTTTCAATAGTGTGTTAAGTCGAAATACACCATAAAGTTAAAAATACTGAGCTATTGCTTTAATACTGTATATGCAGTGTACAGACCCGGTGTTCTCAGAAGGGAAGAGCAAAATGCTGAAGCAAATGCAGATAATGATCAGAACAGACAAGCACTGATAATGATCAGAACAGCACACAGTGACATATGTGTCGTAGAAATAATTCACATCCTGTTCAGTGAAGTTTCAGTGATTTAATTGTGCTTTAGTTGCTTTCAGACAGTCTGTGGTTTCTTCAGGTAAGATTCAGCTCGCTAACCAGCTTATAACCGATTTTCTTTTGTTTGTGGTCAAGCGAGCTGGGTTTGTTTTCGCACAGGTGAATGTGACACAGGGGGTCTGCTGTGGTTGAAACGACAACAGTAGGCTTGAGGTCCATTTGTCAAGGCCTACCAAGTGCTTGCTACCCCTGCATTTGTTACCTGTCGTCTGCTAACGTAGAATACAGTCCTTCATAAATCAAGCCCTCAGCGGTAACAAGACTTTCTGGGTACCTTGCACAGCGGTGGGGTCAATCTACAGTTGTTTTACTATCTTGGAACAGTGTAGGGTCAGTTAAGTGCTATGACAGTGATTCACGCCTCAGGCACTACAATCAGCTCTGCTGGCCAAACAGGGTGAGCCCCCCTAGAGAATGGCCCTGCCAGTTTTCCTTACATGATTGTATTTACATTCCTGGTTCAGTTTTTACATAAAGAATATTATCACGGATTTTGTTTTGTTGTACATATTTATATTTTGTGTTATGGTCTCTTGAATAAGTGCCTATTAACAATCTATGAACCTGTCATTAATGATGTTGCAGACGGTTAAAAAAATGAAACATACAACTTACCCTGCGTTAAAGCATGGCTGATATTATCAAAAGAAGTTAGAGGGCTTGGACGTTTGAACCAAAATGCAATGTGCACCATTTTAAGGAGAGAGAGAAAAGCAGTCCACATAAGTTCCCTAGTAGCAGATACCTGAAAATGTTCACTTGGAAAGCAGAGAAGGGATGTTTTGTAACATCCGTTTTACAATTTATTGATTGTTGAAGCCAACTCACATAAGTAAATTTAAGCTCAAGAAGATTAGTATCATTTGAATTGGAGTGCATCTACATACTGCATAATGCAAAAGACACCACAGTGTCAGATCTCTGGGTGCTAAGAAACCACAAAGTAACTTGAGTTTTATCTGAATTAACATTGTAAAATGGCACTAATGGCTTTAACTTCTAACTTCTACAACTGTAGTCAGACATTCATGAACAACTCCCAGTGCCATCTAGCATGCAAATTGCGTGTAATTACCATGAATACAAACGCACGGACAGTGCATGTTTATGAAAATATTAATGGCAAAAAGGGAAAGACAAAACTAAATAGAAGGTCTCGTTTTGAAAAATACGTTTTAAATAATATGGCGGGAAATACATTATAATTCTATTTAAAAATAAATGGTGCAGATTGTATTACTGGTGAAAATTATTAAAAAAAACAATTCCCTTAATATTAGCTAAACAAAAATGGCGTATTTAATACCTGCAGTTTAATACCATTCATTATTTTCATGCAAATTTGTAAATAAGCAAAGGTTACTGTAGTATTTTGTAAAATATTCCATTTTCTTAAAGGTCTGAAATATTCTGCATATTTATGGGTTTTAAAGAATAGGTTTTGGGTGTTGTAAATATACATTTGTACAATCTTGATGTGCACGTTTGGATTTAAAAAAGGAAAGAGATTTGTCATCTAGGCATTTATCATCATATTGTATTTTTCATGCAAACGCACTGGTTAAGTTTAAAGCGATCAACAACCTATTTTTGGAAATTGAAATGCAAGACTAATTCAAAGACTAGTGACATGGACAAAAAAGAAGTGCAGTGACACAAAGTGACCTCCTTTGTTACAATTTTTCACAAGCCTTTTTTTTTGTTGTTCAGTCTGATCAGTATCACGCTGTAGATTGTATTTTAAAGTGTTTGAATAAGATTGTATTTTCCGTTTCGGATTAAATAAATTCTGCTTGTTTACATGCTGTGTGACCGATAAGGCCAAACACATTTCTGACGTGATTGGTTTTTTAAAAATGTTCCCAACCTGTTCCCATCTTAAAGGGGCCCTGCAATGCTATTTTTTTTTTATTTCAGGGTAAAAAGGAATCAGCAATGATGGGGGCATTTCAACCACAACCACAATAAAATTAAAATGTTCACAATAATATGTAGGGCTTTCCATTTAAATAGAAATTTCTGGGTATGCACAGTGCCATATTGCAGTCATTATCTGCGATTCAGAATGAGGCAACAGCACATCCAGGGATGTGAACTGGCCCTATTACTGTACATTGTAAACTTTTAAATACTCCTTAAGGCCAATGGAAATATTGCGCTTGACTTTGAGATGGTTTTGCCGACAAATACTACTTATGTGTGAGCTTTGCTTGCAGTTTACATTGGAACATTTCTCCGGTAAAATGTCTGCGGCATGACCTGTACTAATTCACTAGTCATTACAGTAACTAGTGAGCAGGAAGGGCTGGTTAAAGCCACAATTCTCCCGAACACACGCCCATGTGTGTTTAGCGACCCGCAGTTTTCAACAACACGGCAACCAGATCGTGATTCCACAAAGTGCTTGAATTCATTTGGAATTTGTCAAATTTTGCAAGACCAGCGATGAATGTATTCCGTTACTGAGTTTTAATAAACAGTCAAAAGAGAAAGTGGGACTTTAAAAGCTTAAATTGGTGCTGAATTGGAGGCTTTCTCTTCCTCTCCTCTTTGAGCTGAGATGCAGTTCTGATTGGAGATTTCATTTTGAACAGATTCCACATTGATAAGAAACTTCTTTTGGGGCAAATGGAAGCGAACCACATCTGACGATATAGGTGTTGTTTCACAGGCGCAGTGGGTGCTTGATACAAATTTAAGATTGAGACCTACAGTTACTGTTCAGTTTGCTATAGGAATACAGACTATAAATGTGCATTCTCACACTATTTTATTAATAAATCCCTTTCTAATATAATCAAAAAACGAGTTGATCAAACAGTATTCTACTTCACACAAGACATTGATGAATAAATAATAATGAAAATGAAGGCATTAAAACATTCATTTGGCACAAGACACAAGTTAATCTGTCTATTAAGTTAATTCTTAAACCTTGTATATTAAATCTCCTCTACTGAAGGGTATAATATTACAGCCTGTAGATTGTATTGAATAAATGTCTTGCAATGATTTCTTTGTTATAGCACAATATGCTCATATATTTTAAAATCCTTCATGTAAAATGTTTATTGAAAATGCAATTTGAAAGATGGACAATTATGAGTACTGGCGTTAAACCCAAACAAAACGGTTCAGGACATACTGGAACAATTCCTTTTTCTGACAAATATTAAAGAGAATTAAGCTTCTTTGTCTACTAAAAAAAGGCTCCACTGCTGGACAGGATTTGCTAGAAAGTTTCAATGTAGAAACTTAAATATGTACAACGACAATTCACTTAAAATGGTGTCTCTTTATGCTAGTGTGGGCCATATTTTGTATCGTTTCAGGAGGAAAAACCACCAATGTTCTAAGAAGTCACAACAACAAAAGTTCATCTAGTCAGTAATGAATACAGCATAGCATGTTTTTTCACACCCTATTCGATTTCCTGGTGAGTAGGTTGGTTAATGTATTTCCTGAAACTGGAGATAAACAAAACCTACCAAAAAATAGAGAATACCAATGCTGTAACACCTGGCTGATGGCAGAATTGATTTCACTACCTCGTGTCAAGTGTGAGATATGGGACTACCCCTCCAATAGCAGTTGACAAGGTCATGATGGAGGATGCTCACTATAGGAGTAGGAGTGCAATACTTTTCTGCCAGTGTCTTTTCATCATGTATCAAGAGCCCTTTTAGACAGAAATAGAGAGTGACAACTGTGTTCTAGGGTCATAAAAAATGTACTTTGTATTTTGGAAAGCAAGGACTAAATGCAGAATCTTTAAAGCCGTGAAACAAATTAATTACTTGCATCAATTCGCATTAATAGTTAAGGACACAGTTGGAAGGAAAACCACGACAAAGACTGAGAAAGGTCTAAATGTTTCTCATCATCATGTTTAAGGTGAGGGGAAGGAATCAATTTAATGATCCTGCATGCATTGCACATGAGAAGGAACAGTAAATAACTAGCACAGTTCACTGACCATAGACATAGTCTGGGCCACAGTCTCCCCAAACATCTAAACTCCAACCCAACTAGCAATATCAAAATCTGGTCGTGTCAGATGGTGGCAACATTTTGTTTGCCAGCGTTTTCCTGTGTCTGCCATCATTAGTTAGAGACTTTGGAATTTGCGATAGTTGGGTTGAAATTGTATTATTTAATTTGGGGCCTCAGGACATCACGGCAGGATAAAAAAACATCAGATCTCATAGATGATAAAACCACTTGGATCAAAAACACTTTAGTGTTCCCAATCAAAGTCTGTCATTGTACGATGACAAATTCTAATAACATAAGGCAACTGGAAGAAGTGGTTAGAAAATTGATGGCTGGAATGTGATATAGCAGCGAGTGCACTAGAACTGATACTAGAACATTTCAGAGTTGTTCTGCATTTTTAGCAGGTTAATAGTTGGAAAAATTAGAATAGCTGACCTGCTGCTTAGGCTGTACTGCAGTATGGAAGGACATTTTCTGAGTTTTTTTTTCCTTCGTGAGAAATAAAACAGGAAAGTCATTTTTATCCTCCACTTGGTTTTTAGATAAATGTCTCTTTATTTTGCCAGAGTGATGGTTCCCCTCGATTCCTTTGCTAAACTCGGGAAAAGTACTGTATGACCACCAGAAATCACATTTTCCTTTGGCTTGGTGATCGCTTATTGGTAAAATGATTACTTCTCAACGTGTCTCACTCGACTGGAAATCTTGATTTTTGTGACAAATATTTTCATACTATATTACATTTTACCATCCTCCATTCATACTATAGGTTGTGGTTTACTGGCTCATTTTGTGGGAAAATGCTAATACTGGTTTAAGCTTCAGGGTTACCCTAAACAAGCATAAACAAATCTCTCTTATTTGAAACTGCGTAACTAAACTTTAACATGGCGATATTGTGGCTGCCTCAGTTTTAGTGCCTCACTTTAATCTCTTTAAACCACAGTACCCCAAGCATTATTTATAGTGCTTTGCAAAAGTCTTCATAAATACAGGGCATTTAAAGTTTGATAAAAAAAAAAACATTCCCTTTAAAAATGTGGAGCCCTCATGTGTAATTATTAACCAACATGGAATATGTTTGTAAGGGGTGAATACTTCTGCAGGGCACCATAAAGCCAAATTCACAATTACTTGTTTGTTCACTTCCTTGGTAATGTTTGGTTCGAAACAATTTAGAGTCCCTGCAATTCTGGCCTTCTTCACAGTTTTCCCTGCAGGATTCTTTGTGGTTATTTAGAAACTAAACTCAACCACGTGGCATAACGTCCACAAAATCAGCAGTTAGTCACCACAGCTAGCCTTTCTAGCTGTGGAGCCAAAACTAATGTTTCTGCGTGTCTCCTCCCAAGATAACCATGCGTGATATAGACACATTCACTTTGATGTGATGTGATCTGGGGGTCCCCAATCTTTGGTCTGGTTTTCATTCCAGCTGAGCTTAATTACCTACAGTAATTGAAGCCTTAAACTGAACTTAAAAGTTGCTTAGGAACAAGTAATAGGTTTATTCCATGCTGAAAAAAAGAAGAAAGAAAACACAACGTTTTGGCCGTGGAGCCTTCTCCTACAGTAGTGTGAGGAAGATGTTTGTAAGGTGTGAATACTTCTGCAGAGCACCATAAAGCCAAATTCGGGAATCAGCCTGAATCAGCCAAAATCAAAATCCTCACACCTCCTCCACGGCCGAAACATTGTGTTTTCTTTCTTCTTTTTTTCAGCATGGAATAAACCTATCACTTGTTCATTTGCAGCCTACGCATGCTGACGCAGCTGAACTACCTGAACTACTTAAAAGTTGCTTGTTTGGAATGTTGGTAAATGGCTTTTTTTTAACTCAAAACATTTCTAATTTTACGTGAGACCATCCAAACAGTTCAAATTAATTCTATTGTAACATCTATCAAGGGTTCACCTGTGTATCTGAGGGCATGGCTGGAACACAATTTGCTTTGCTGAGCCATGGGGAGAGTGCTACCTCTGCTGTGGAGCCAAAACTAAATCAGTAGCTTTTTTAACTTACAAACCAACCAAACAACTCCCTTTAACCCTAAACTGATGACAACAGATGTGAAGCAAGAATGTATTATTGTGGCCAAAACATTAGTCTAAAGAATCTCAGTTCAGATAAATAAACCACACACTACTGTGGTCCTCAGAAATAAAAGAAATATAAGCTGTTCTGTCAAGGGCATCAAACAGTAGAATATTTCCAACCAGACCCTTGACAGAAATAACCAAGTGGTTTTAAGACAGATGTGCAACAAGATTAAATACAGTAGAGATTAATATCAAGCTTTTTGTCTCCATTTTGAGCTTTTTAAATGTAACAAAGCTCTCATGCAACTGTAGCAATTGTCAGATGACACAGATAAGATATAAATAGCCTGTGAATTTCTGAAAACAAACTAGATCTGTTATCGCTGAAACCAAGGTGCTAGAAAGAAAGATAAAAAAGACACTTGTCGTTCTTAGAAGGAGCTTTATCTATGCAATGTATTTCGAATTTCCATGATTGTTATCTCCAATTACAAGCTCAAGCACTTCCTACAAGCTAACGTGTTTTTTGTGCTTACAAGTATGTGAATGCAGACAAACCCATAATGTCTCAGACAAATGTAAAAATATAACCATCTAGTAGAAGAAACAAGCAAAATATTTTTTTTTTGTCTGCTAACTGAAGGCAAACAGTATCAAGCTCTTCAATGTGCCCTAAACATCTTAAACTTTTGACAATGTTACAACAGCATGCAGTTCATTTTACAGCTTAGAAAGAAGGCTTTGATTTCCATAACCAGCCTGTTTTTACCCTTTAAAATATTGAATTATTTTATGCATGTCCTTAAACCATTTCTTATTGATCTTCATAGACAGCATTCTCGATACATAGTTTATTTTGGGAAGAATCATCATCATAACTACTGCATATAAATTCTGCCTCACAAATAGATAGGCAAGTCCCAATCTAAGTATCTCTATTAATTTGGTTGAAGAAATCTCTTAAATTTGCATCTCCAGTAGCTTTTAAACCAGATTTTATTTGCAACCTCAGATAACTTATCTCTGTGATAACTTGTATTAGTTCAACAGTGGCAGATGAAGAAATAAAAGTTCAGAGTTGCCTCAGTTAACCTTGTAAGCCTTAAGCTGACTAAAACTTTCAAAACTCTCTACTACAGCAGAAAATGATCTAAGTACATCTTTCAAGAACAGTATAACACCATCATCGTACAATAAAATTAGTTAACATTTTTAGGAACACCTATACCTTTTATCTGTGCTGACGCCCTTGTTTTGCAGTAGGGGTGAGAGGGGAACACCCTTGCTTTCTGTCTATGTACAGGTTAAAAGGTCTGGAAGTACAGCTATTATTCAATATAGATACTTGTGGCTGACAATATAAGATTGCAACCTATTTAATTAAATTAGGGACATAACAAAACAGTTTTAACTCAGCATATCAAAAGTTCCATTCAATCCTGAGAAAAAGGCCTTCTCAGCATCCAGTGTATATATCTGATGTTATTATACTATGTTTGGCATGATGCATCAAATTAAACAGCTCTCTTGTGTTATCTTTAGAATATCTATTTTTCATCAACCCTGTTTAATCTTGTATGACGTATGATTCTTGTTAGCAACTTATCTCACTGGTTAGCGAGTATCTTCGCTAAAATCTTGTTATCCAAATTCATTATACTTATAGGGCAGTAGCTGCCACATTCAAATGGATCACCCTTTTTGTCTGTAATGTAAGTATAATTATAGACTCCCTAAATTATATCAAAATAGTTGAACACATATTATCAAATGTTTGAAGTAAAATTGGGCTAAGTATAGGCTGAAAAGTCTGAAAGAACTCTGCTGTGTACCCATCAGGTCTGGGTGATTTATTATGAGAGAAAGAGGCTATAGCCTCTTTAATCTCTGAGAAGATGAGAGCTCTCTTCAGACTGTTCCTATCTTCTGTAGAGTGTTTCGGGAGGACTGGATCTAGCTAGAAAGCTCTGAATATTATTCAATTTGCAAGAGACTTCTGGTTAATATAATCTTTTTATAAAAACTCACAAGACTGAATTTATTGCTCTCTGATAGGTAACAGATCCATCTGTTTTCTTGATGCTGCTCATAATAATGTGTGAAGGTTGTTTTTTTAATCTGGCTGCTTACATTTTTCTTTTTGCTCCTCTTGGCAGAAGTTCTGTTTAATGAAAATTCTGTTTTTACCCTTGATAGCTCATTGTATCATAGCTGGGAAAGTGTACGATTACCCCCATCCTGATCATTCCATTTTTCTAATCATTTTAACTTTTACGATTTTTAACTAATTTTGGAGAGCAAGGAGGCTTCTTCTTGCTTCCTTTGCCTTGTGTGAAATGTAGCTATTCTGTTGAGTTAACTCCTTAAGCAGTACTTAAGTGATCCCCAGATGAATTTAGAGTCATAAACAGAATTTAAGTTAATTTCCCCAAAACTTTGAATAAACCTCTCTAGTAAGCGGTGATCTATTCTTGAAAAAATGACTTATGTCTGTCAGAAAAGGAGGTATAATCTTGTTCTGCTGGGTGGGGGGATTCTCCATGTGTCTGATAAATTAGGTATAGTTGTCAGTTTGTGGAGTGCTACTGCCTCCTTAGAGCACTAAGTCAATCATTTTCAGGTTTGATCGATACTAGGATTCATTACTACATTAAAATCCCCTTCAAGAATAATGTGCACATTTGCTAACCTTTTTAAAATGACTTTGTAAAGAATGTTGGGTCATCCGAATTAGGACCACATAGATTAACAGAGATTGCTTTGTTCCATTTACCTGATAAACAGAGAAATCTCCCCTCTTGATGTTCAATTTTGCTTGAAATATGATGCTCTTTAGATTAATTTAGACGATTTTAGATGAATATCCAGATCCATATCTACAAATCTACAAGTCCATCCCAATCTCTACAAACATGATGCACATCCTTAGATTACAGGTGAGTTTCCCATAGGAATCCCACTTGTGTTACTAAGCTCTGTGTGTTTCTTTAAATCAACAGCAACACAATCATGAAGACCGCTCAATCCAGAGGGGTCAGAAGTGGTTTCTATCCCAGATTATTTCCAGCCGATAAAAATAGAAGTGAATAAATCTGAACAGTCTCCGTTAACAAAATGGTCCGATCTTGAAAACCTTAGGGCTGGATAGAGCAGGCCATACTGGCTGAGTAACGTGTTTATTTCTCTTTGTAGTCTTCCGAGTAAGTCCATACATACAGAACAGGCATGGTATTGTCATTGAATGGCATTGGGTTAAATTGAGTCCCCCCTGCCACAGTTTGTCCCCCTCATCATAGTTTTATCAGCAAACAAGTCCGCCCTGACATGCAAAACCAACATCCCGACCGCCTCGCCATTGAGCTTGTGGCATTCTTCCTAAATTTATGGGAGTTAACCCTGGGGTCCAGGTTAAATTCCCCCCCGGGCATTCTGCAATGCCTAAATTTCCCTCTGCAGTCATTCGGTGGGGCTCTTTATGTCTTCTCTACTAGAAGTGGGGCCACTAGTGCATAAAGGTTCTGGGGTCCCTCCTAACTGAAAAAGCTCTCTGGAATGAAAGGCGCTATATAAACTGCAGGGAGCTTTATTATAATTGGTCCTCCCAGCCATGTAATCATGGCGTTATTGCAGGCTTGGCCATATTAGGTGTCAGTGACCTGACAGGGGCATCCAGAATTCAAGCAACGCATTGCAGGATATTGGTCGCATGCTTGCTGACACTTTTGTCTCTCTCTCGACCCAGGATGGAGCCGGAGAGGTTGGCGGCCGTGAGAAAATGGCTCCCATGAAGAGCACCCACAGCAGGGTGGGGCCCTGGAGCACCTCCCCGCCCAAAAGGTGAGAGGGCTTGCTTCTTTGCCTCTATAGAAATACTCTTTACAGATCACTGCCTAGCCGACATTGCAAATCACTCAGCCCAATAGAACTATTCCCGATAACAATTCCAAGATGAGAATCCCGGTTCTGAAATTGTTTTGTAACAAAGAGAATAGGTATGATAATATTAAGATTTCACCAACATACAGTAGTAGCAGAAGTGACTCAAGTGATTACGATTTTAAATAAATGACTTTGGAGAAGCGCATCAATGCCCTTATGTATAGCAACTTCCAGCAGGTAATTATCCTGGGAATCTTTCTCTGGGAAGTGTAAGATCCAGATTAAGTACTTTCCTTTCAAACATTTCTAAGTGCCTTTTGAGAAACAGCAGTGTTACACTTTGAATTACACTTTCTTTAACATAAATCAAACTTAAGCCTTCTTGTGGGGCTACATAAGATGTTATTATCAACCTTCAGAACATTAGATGCACAAGCATTCTTTAATAAGTTCACATTACTGTATGTTTTATGTGTAGATTTGTGATCAGGCTTAGCATTAGGGTTACTGAAATGTATGTGCTTGTTTTATTACTTGGAAGGGGATCCTATAGGGAAATACATATGACATCTCACATAACGTCTACTAGACTACATAGAACCTAATTCAAAGGAAGCATTAATGACATATTTTGTACTTTACAGTAATGCATAATGAGGCACTTGATAGGATTCGTGTTCCAGAAACAGATGTCATTTCTACTTCCCTATTGAAAGCAGTAACAGGTTTCAGTATTAGTACAGTGTGGAAGAATATAAGAAGTGATGCTTCAGAAAAATCTGGCAGTATGGCCAAGTTAGTTCAACAGAGAGACGGAGGAAAGTGAGGACGTTTGCTCGCAAGCTGACTGGATGCTTGTTCTACATTTTATACTGAAGAAAATTAGTAAGTCAGAAACGCCACAGGATTTGAACTCCAAGCAGCGGACGAGTAGCCAAGCTAAGGTAAGAAATCCTCTAAAGGACAAAGGACCCTCCGAAAAACTATTTCAGAGATGACATCTGACAACAGACAACAGTTATTGCTGTGACAGCATAGATATATAAATCTTGTAAGAATAAAACTGTTGGTCACAGTTCTGATACAGTAATCATACAGTATGTCAATTAAATCTCATAGATTATTCCCAAAGATTAATGGCTCTCACACTTGATACCACCAATGGGAGGGTTGGAATTTTACAAATATTTATGGGATATAAGGACCTCATCTCATTTGTTTCTGTTCCTGTGTTCTTAATTTCTTAAAGCTATTCACTAGTTAGAGCAAAAATCGGCCAAACGTTAATCTCATTGTGTTTTCATTTGAGTTATGTAATGGACAGACAGTATATCGGGTAGTTCTTTTTTCTAAATATTCTAAGCGTGTAAGTCAAGTGGAAACGATATGGCAACAATAGTTATACAGACAGCATCAAAAAGAAAATTTCAGGAGAATCTTGTTAGATATAGGGCATACAGAAAAACAACTTAAATTTTCTTGTAGTTAAGCAGCTCATAACATTTAAATGCAACACAAAGAAGTGGGTTTTGAAGTCGGTTTCATGATTTAGGAAGTGCCACACATCTTCTTTTTTATTCCTCTTCTTCCCCTTCTTTTTGTACAGTATTTTTTTTAAAAAGCTGCTTCCAGTATTTTAAGCAATAAATGCATTGTTAAGAAAAGCATTCTGACACTCCTATGTTGGTGCGTATTCTCATATTTTTTATCTTAAACGGAATGATATCTTCATGAAAGGCTTTAATTAAAGATAAAGATGTTTTTTAACCAATGATACAAAATCATCTGGGTCCAGCAGCAACAAAGCAACCCAAACCAATACTCCCGTCGGTTACCCCGCAAGGGGCCTGTTAAGAGCAACAATAAAGAACAATCTATTGAGTTCAAAGGGTCAGCCTGTTCACGAGTCCACTATGTGTATATTATTGAGTTAAACGTGAGTTACTGTGTCTATCAGAGAGTAGGTGTGGTGGAGCAGCCCTTCACCTGGCAGAACTAGGTATCAGGTGGAGAAAAAGGGTTTATCTGGCTGATGACCTCTGGCGGTGGACATGGAGTGGCGACAGTGTGAGGGCACCACCGATGTGAATATGTGTGAAGACAGTAAGATCTGGGCATCAGTGAAAAGGCTCTGTCTGGCTAATGGCCTCGGGGAGCAGGGCCGCAGTGGAGGGATCCTCGCTTTATGAATGTGTGGCTTGGAGTGGAAGGGTACACCAGGAGAAACTGTGAACTTAGTGAGACAGCAAAGTCTGGGGGAGAGAGATGCACCAGAAGCTGTAAGTAAAGGGTGAGTCGTGAGTAAGGGCATTGAGTAATGACAGTGGGGATGGGGCACAAGGGACAGATGTGCCAGCCACTGCAAGTCACAGGCTTGGATGCAAGGATGAGGTTATAAGGTAATTAATGTTAGTGTTATGAGTCTGGGCTTAAGATTGAGGCACTGTTACAAGGGCTGTGAGGAGGAGACCCAGCCAAAGTGGAGATGTCAGGGGGCGCAGGCAGGCCTGGAAGTCCAAGGGCTGACTGATGGAATTTGAGAGAACCGATAGCCGTCGTTGAGTGTGAAACACTGCAGCGTCCGGCACTGGGGAGCAGGCAGCTCCAAGCTAGAGTGAGGAAACGGCCAAGGGACTAGCATGAGAGAACCAGAGGTAAAATACATTGAGCTCAGATATCCGCTAGCAGAGGGCTCAAAGGCAAGATGATCTCGCAGAAGGTTGTGAAAGAACAGAGGTGTGTAAGAGTAGGAGGCTCTGAGCCTGAGAGTCTGCAAACCGAGGGCTTAGAGAATTTATCATGTATGTGTCTCTTGCTTATTGCCCTGGGCCATGTAGTGGCACCACTCGTGGAGAAGAGTGCTTGTGAGTTGGGAAAGTAAAGCAAAAAAGATCCCCAACAGGCTGTGAGAGCTGTGTCAGACTCTGTGGACGTGTCTGTTTCATGCCATGCCTGAAATATATTGTGTAATCCCTGATCAAAACAACCTATGGATAACTCAAAGAGTTCCTAAGGAGAATGGGAACATTTATATCAAAACATGGTACACATACAAAAAAATGACACTATTACACATACCTTCGATAACACCTTCCCAACAGTATAAATACTGTAAAAGTTTCTCTTTTATTCCTGCATTCATTTCTCTTTTATTCCATCTCAGGAGGAGACTGAAGTCATTTTTCCAATGGACCCAGCCTTGTCCAACAGTACCCAGTGCCAGCCCCACAGACTCCACAACGCCCTCCCCTGCCTTCTGGGCATAGTCTATATCAGTGGGTTCTTCCTGAACGGTCTGGGTCTGTGGGTGTTTGGGTGCCACGTGAAGAAATGGAACGCCAGCATGGTGCTGCAGTTCAACTTGGCCCTAACGGACGTGCTCATCACACCCGTGGCTCCCTTCATCGTCCTCTATTCGCTGACGGACCACTGGCCCTACGGACAGTTCCTCTGCCAGCTCAAAGTCGGTCTGCTGAGCGCTCACATGTACGGGAGCATCTGCTTTCTGACGCTCATCAGCATTCACCGGTACCTGACGGTCGTGCAGGGAGCATCCAAATCCCGCTGTGCGGACAAGAGCTTCGTCAAAAAGCTCTGCCTGGTGGTCTGGGTGGTGCTCCTTCTCCAGGGGCTTCCCTTCTTCGTCATCCTGGAGACCTCGGAGGTGCACAACTCCACCAAGTGCCTCAGCATTCACCAGTCGGGTATGGCGGTGCTCTACTTCTCCTACAACGTCGTCGTTCTCATCGTGGGTCTCATCGTTCCCTTCACCGTGTGCCTGGTGTGCTACAGCTGGCTGAGCACCTACATTTCCAGACTGAACGCCCGCAGTCTCAAAAGCCGGGCGATGAAAGCCAAGTCTGTGCAAGTGATCGCCGTCTGCCTGCTCATCTTCACCGGCTGCTACGTCCCGGTGCACGTGGCCAGAACAATAGGCGTGACGGTCAAGCTTTTCTACCCAGCACATTGTGAACTCTTGCACAGGACTGAAGTCAGCTACTACGTAACTTTCACCATCTCCAGTATGAACTGCTGCTTGGATCCTCTTTTGTACTGTTTTGCTTCAAAGCGCTTTAGAGAAGCGTTTCAAAGTTACATCACGTCCGTTCGATGCCTGTTTCCTGGGAGTCGGTGTCTCAAGCCCTTGAGAAAGGCAGAACCTACTGGTTCGACCAATATTGGAAAATCAGCTGAAATAATATAACGGAGCTGATGTGATTTATTTCATTCCCCACTTGATGAAGATCCCACCACTTTTGCCAGTGCTAGATTGGTCTTGCTCCCTAACTGTCCTGAGGTCCCGCAGGGAAGTCCAAAAAGAAAAACATCATTGTAGCGTTCGACACAGAAGGTGCTGCATACTCACTATCTCAGTATTCAGAATTGGGAATGAGCAAAACCAATCACCAAGCTAAATTTGAGAAAAAATATTAGACAGTAAATTAAAATAGGACAGGCCTTTTCTGATTTTTATCCATGTTTTCATCTTTATCAGATAAAGTGTGTTTTGTTTCCAGTAATTCACAGTATATATCATCTATATATTGTAATAATATTTTCTTGTCTAGGGCACTAAATGTTTTACATTCTTTATCCTTTAAGACGTATCAGTTTTAGACATTTACTTCATGTTGTGTCACGATCCTCGTCCCTCCTCTTAAGGGCGCTCTGACCCTTTTGTATTTTAGTGCCTTACGTGTACCTGTCCGCCGTTTGTCGGTCACTATGCACTCTGCATACTCACATGGGGTTAATTAGTGCAGTTAGAGAATAAAGGGGCTTCATTGTTATTAGAAATGGTGGGTTTTAGGAAGCAGTCTGGGAAGAGTATAGCAGTCATAGGAAAAGGGGGCTTGTCTTTAAAGTAATTTATGTATAATTCCTCCATAATCTCTGCACAGCCTCCTGTCTGTCCCTTGAATTAAAGTCATCATGAGTTTTCAGGCAAAGATCTCTGGAGTCACGTTGTCCATGTTTAGGCTCAGTCACAAGCATTAAATGAATTACCTCGATCCTAAGTTATATTATACTATGTCCATGCAACAGGACAAATATTTGCCTCCGACAAATACCCTCTCCCCACAATGACATCTGCTCTGTGAAGATCCATGATTTTAAAAATAATCACAGGTTCTAGAAAAATACCTTAAATCCAGTTTGCAGTGTAGCTGTCATAGGATGCAGGGACAGCTTTGCAACCATTTAAGTTTTAATCAGGAGCAGGTACTATTTTTGTGTTAGATCCTTCTGCTTATTTCAGAGAAAGCAAAGTCCAATGAAGACACCTTTAAACTGTACGGTTGTCTTATAACTGTCACGCACGACTATTACGTTGTCAGTAGTAATTGCTCAATGTAATAGTTTTGTTTGGGGTGTAACTTGGCTGGCCTTCAGTGAAACTGAAACTTTCTGGTGTCTTGAATTTCACTTTTCTTTCTGGCAGGCTAAATTTACACTGCCATTGTTTTATCAAGTTGAGACACCTCTGGTTTCTCTAGCTTTGCGTCATCAGTACA